CTAACCTTCTATTAGGGGCCATCAATCTGTCACCGTCACAGCCTTGTTACTGTAAGGTCTGTTCCACTTGAAACAGGCCTGTAATTATACTCCCACTGGACCGCATACTGTACGCCTCCCGTTTGCGAGCGTTGTCCTCTCGTTCCGTCTCGCTCTCCTTTCCCAAACCTCCACTCGGGAATTGCACACAGCACCAGATTTACGAGCTGTGGAAGTGACGGGGGAAGGATGCAAGTGAGACCGCCGTCTCCGCGTTTTTTTTTGGCGTCGTGGGGGCTTCGGGATGCGAAGCTGAAACCGTCTTTCCGGGGTCCCGGAGACGAGTGGGAATCGACACAGTGGCCCTGAAATGATTAGTGGTTTCAGTCAATTTGCGTGTGTTTGTTTGCGCCGGGGTATAAACAATAGAATAGAAACGGGGCACCGGGCAAACCAGTGTGTGGGCGGAGGAAACGCCGAGCCAATCGCATGATGACACGGCCTCTGGCGGCCCTGCTGACGGTTGCTAAGCTCCAAAGCCTGTGTTTTTGCATTTTGCGCGAGGGGCGAAGGACCGGATCACGTGTTACAGCAGCAAGGTTTGACCCCTGTGTCCTTTTCAACCCCCCCACACACACACACACACACTCCCTCCGCCTCCACCCTCTCCAGTAACTTGTGACCCACCCTAATACTGAAGATCAGACGGGCGTCCGCCAGCATAAACAAGGTGAGTCACGTTCATTAGAAGTAAATGGGTGCCCGGATCAGGCCGAGGTCGCGTCATTGACGATCAGAAAACACCAGCCGATGGAGCAACTCCCCCGTCACAGGCCGCGGAGTTCTCCGTCCACGCACATCCCTCGTCTGCCGCCTGCGGCCGTATTTCTGCGGCATCGCTTGCGTTGCAATTACGGCGAAAGGTTTGTTTCTTTTGGTCGCATTTTATTTCCTGTGGATTAGCGGCGCGAGGCAAACGCAGTCAAGCCGCAAAGAGAAAGCGCGTCACAGTTGCCTTTGGATCGAGCCGCGTCCAAAGGGCCCGAGGGGCCCAGCGGAGCGCGTATTATCTCACCGGCTCGGCAGTTCCCCACGATGACGGCGAACCGCGAGCGTGTCGGTAATTCTCCTCTCCGATGTCCTGTTAACCGAAGGACGGCGCCCGTGAGGAGAGAGAGAGCGATGCCGGATGAACCCAGCCGTGTGCAAGGCGAGGCGTGTGACGTGGGCCGCACAGCAACCGCCCCGAGGAAACTCTGCATTCCTCTGCGTCCAGGACCCCTCCTTCCAAACATGACCTCTGTGCCTGTTGGCAGGTTTTTTTTTTTCCTTCTCTTTCTTAAAAAGTGTTTTATGTTTGTATGATTGTGGGGGGCGGGGGGGGGTGGTTATGCTGCTCCTGCTGACAATTTATGGACTTCTTGAAGGGCGCAGAGTGTGTGAATGCGCGCCAGCGGCCGAGTGTGTGGGAGCGCAGAGGACATGTGAGGTAAAGCACAGCTGTCAGCGCCTTCGCTGCCCTCCTTGCGGAGCCAATTTCCCTTCAGGAAGCAGAGTGACTCAGCTGTGGTTGGACATTTGTTTGTGAGTGCATACTGTGTGTGTGTGTGTGTGTGTGTCAGAAAGATGTATACAAAGTAAGACCATGATTGTTTTTGTATGACCTGTGCATGCGGACATTCTTGTGTACGTACTTTCGAGTGTGCATGCGTGCGTGTTGAAGCGTTTCTCAGGTCAGTTTGAGGTTGACTGGCGTGTAAATCTGCCTCTACCTCTTTCCTGTCAGCGAGAAACGTTTCATGACAGTTGGTACAGACGCCTCACACACAAAGGGCTTGTCTCCTGCAGGAGGGACACATTCTTGTGATGTATGCACGTCGGGCCAAAGTCAAGCCGCCGGCTTGAAATAATCTAAAGGGTCTGCATACTCGAATCACACACACAAAAAAAAAAAAAATCCTTCCTCGTTTACCGCTAGCGGTAGCTAACCATGCAGATAGTTTTGGGTTTTTTTGTGCTGAAGTTTTGAAATATCCTTCCGTGAGATTTCTTTCAGCACCCCCAATACAATGGAAGTAGCTGGAATTCTCCCTGTGGTGTTCGACGTGTTGAAAAATTACAATTGAAAATCTATTCGCAGAAAGAATGTCCTGGATAATCCACAGACCTCACTGTGAACAGTTTTCATTGGAACTACTTTCTCCTGAAGGAAATGGTCCCGGTGCAAGCTGCCCGGGGAGGTCTGTGGACTACCAGCGTAACCAGCACTCTGTTTTTCACAACACACAGTGCTGCAGATCCTCTTTCCCAAAAGTGATTTTGCCAATTCCATGAATGGCAAAGATGAAACTGCTGTACTGTGGTTGTGGCGGAAAGTTAAACATGCTGAAATCCTAAAAACTAGAGGAACGTAAATCATTAATGCTCCGCAAGGCAAGACATCAGTGAGCTGCAGGAATCCAGTCCTGTCGGTGGAGAGACAGCGTCACATGACAAACTTACATCACTCTTTATGTGACGTCCTTTTCTCTTTTCATCCTGGAATGTCTGTGATTCCAATAATAATGGTTTCTTAATTTGCCTGTAAAAGATACCTGCAAGCACAGCTGTGTATAACATATAACCTGGTGTATAAATACATCACCATAGGGTTATTAGCAATATTAGCAATATTATATATTGCTGGAAACTTGTTTGAAGCGTGTGCGGAGATTTGTGTTAAACAGTTACTTGCATTAACTTTAGACATATGTTATTAAATTCTTGTTCTTGACGTCATCACACCTCACATTGTGTCTCACCCGCGGTGCTTTTTTAGGGTGAACACATTTCTGGTGCTGATATTTCCGACGATAAAAAGGTTTTGTGTTTTTCTCCTGAGATCCGCTCAGCTTAGATGTTATCGTCACCAGAGCTTCGCAAAACAAAAAAAATATGCAGAAACACGGGACCACCTTGCTCGGCTTGCCCTAAAGCGCAGCGTTTGTCTGGCAGGAGAAGAAAGCGCACATATCTCGCATGGCAGGTCACGCAAGAGCTCACGTCGAAACTTGATGCTGAATGGCGTTCCAAATAACCAAGTAATCTCCAGAGCTATAAAAAACAAAGAGCAGGTTTTTCAGATGGTTTAAGCTTTTAAAATCAATGTTTAATATTCCCCAGAGAGACACTGCTGCGTGCGACTGTTTCTCAGGGAGTTTTTTTATTGTATTTTTTTTTTTTGGGGGGGGGTGTGTGACGCTGCAGAATAAGGTGACATCATTCTGACTATGAAGCGCTCTGTGGAAATCCCCCTGCATTCACACTGTAGGTTATTAGAAATAAACCGACAGCCCGGTTCGTAATTTAGACCAATTAATAAAATGCATTTAGTGTAAACCGGGATTCAGCCATGATTCTGAAACCATGTAATCAATATAGACATGAGAGTAGTGTAACACCACTATCATTTTGAAAGTGTAATTAATTGAATAACAGCGCCGATGCACGGCTACGATTGTATTCAATCAAAATGCATGTAATACCACCACCGATATTGGCCGAGAGACATTCGAAATCCGAATTACATTCAACGCACCAGTAGAAGTGACATCGCCTTCCGCACCTTTACTATCTGTGTGAATCCTTGTAGGCGCCCATTGTCGCTGTGGGGGGGTCGATGGGCCCTGTGACCTGTTGACTGCAGAAACCAGCGGCTCCTCCTTCAGCACAACAACTTTTCTTTCATTAAATACTTTTGATTTTAACTTTCAATCCCAGATGTCTTCTGTCCGTTCGGATTTCCTTCATGTTTAGAACACAACAATTCCTATACGTGACGGATTAAAGTGTAAGTTGCGTCGTCGGTGCTGCCGTGCGATTTTGAGGCGTGGAACCTCAAACTAAAATGTTGGTTTTAGCGCACGGACCCACTGCTGGAAGCTCAGCTGGGATGCTCCTTGCAGCTGTGAGGCCTGGGAGCAGATGTGAGCAAGTCCAAGCCCTCGAGTTCATTCAAATAAATTCTACTTTCATTTGATCTCAGTGGAGTCCATTTGTCACCGGGCGACACGCCCGGGGGGGGGACGGAAGACCTGCAGGGAGGGTGTTAGCCTGAGAGGGAAAAGGCCGCTCTGTGTTCTCTGATTCATCTCAGTTCAACAACAACAGTACACCGTCGCTGCTGAGCAGGCAGGAAAAGGATCGGCGCTGCGATGTGGGTGTTTCGTGCGTTTACCTCCACATGTGTTTGTTTTGTGCACTCTGAGTGTTGCACAGAGCAAAAAAAAACAACCAAAAATGGTCTCCTTGCGTTGGAGCGCTGGGAAAGAATCTGTCTCCTGCTGCACCTGCCCCCCCCCCCACACACTTCTTCTCCCACTTCTCTTTTACAAAGTAAAAGGGGAATCAGAAACATGTACTCGTACCTAAAGGCCAAAGTAGGTCAACTGCCAGGGCCTCCCGGAATGACTCACGACCATGAGCTGTTTGTTCTCCTCTGCTGTGGCTGTGGTTGAGGTTCGGTTAGACTTAAACTACAAGGTTAATGTTGCACAGAGTACGATTTTTTTTCACGTTTCACCTCAATCACCTTGTGAGCAAACTGTTTACGGGGCCACGAGATGATTTATTTGGTGTCGTGTTTTTGATGCTCTCCTCCATATTCTGAGGGAAATTGTCTATTTAGCTGCAGAGCCGGTGGTGTTCAGTCGGTTCTTACAAGCGGTACTCTGAAAGCGGGTCGGGGGGAGAGTTGTGGGTCAGGCAATGAGCTGTAAAGCTGCTCAGACAGTCCCCAACATTTTATTATGACCTGTCATGTTGTTGAAAACACACAAAGATTCGCACCTTTTATAGTCCTCTCTGCAAGCGCCGAGTTGCACAACATGTTGGAGGTATCCAATTTCTTGGCTGGATGATAAACAGAAGGTTGGACCTGCGTTATCAACCCTTGTTATAATATGTCAGCTATCCAGGCGCGCCAGAGGACATTTAGTAATATAGTTCAAATTCTTATTTAATAATGAAGTCTGACACTTTCATTTTTCTCTACGGGCCTTTGTAGAAGTTTCTGTTCCTTCTTTATTCTAATCGTTCTCATTCTGTTTTTCTGAAAACAGGCAAGAAGGAAACACCCTGAAGAACATAAGAATGTCCCTGCAGGACTACACAGTAAACACATCTGCAGATGGATGCACGCATGGGACCACAAAGGGGGGGACATGTTAAATGCATTGTAAAGATGCAAAGTTACAAACACGTACGTTGCCTCCACACGTGTGTCAACGTAGCGGCATCTTAGCCAGCGGCTAGCAGCTAGCAGTGCGAACAGCGGCAACGCAACAAATACACGCAAAGATTAAACATGTAAATGCACAGACACACAACGCCATATTGCTGGTGCGGTTGAATTTATAGTGTAGTGTTGCAAAAGTCTGGCAGTTCCGAGGACACGTGAGAGATAATAGCCAGACATAAACTGGGGTGGGTTTCAGGAAGTCGCACCGACGGAATCAAAAGTCCTCCCTTATTTACTTTCTCGTCTGATGAGGTGATTCCTGCGAACAAATCTCGTGTGTTTTTGAAGTTTTGTACTTCTACCTCCCTACATGAGTCCATGTAACGAACCGGAGGGGATTTCACTCTTCTTTCCCAACAGCTCGGTGAACCTGTGTCTTGGATGCAGCTGCACTGGAACACAGAGCTGTTTCCATTTGAGCTGATTGAAGCGTCCTGAAGGAGACCATGCGATACCTTCCGACGCCAGCGTCTCATCGGCTCGCGGACAAGAAGTGAACTGTATTGATTAGGCGACGGAGAAGTGGCGTCTCCCCGCCTGACACCCACACACACGTTCACACGGCCAGTTCATTCCAGGTTTCTCCTCTTCACTTGATAGCCGCACACATCTGAATCCAATGTTTCTCCGCCCAGACTGAACTGTGACAATATGCAGCACAAATAGAGCTGCACAATATGGAAACATCACAGAATCACATGGTTTTCGCCCCCCGTATCTAGCCTACATGCTAAGCTACGCTAATCGCCTTCCATACTTAAAAGGGGGACATGCAAAATGTCAACGTCACCACAGTGACACAGAGCGGTTTGTGTCCTGGACATTAAACCTGATCCTGAAAATGTTGTTCTTCCCTGTACGCCCCGGATACTTTCTTTTAAAAGTCGAGATTTCTTTTGTTATTGGTGGACATTTGGTGGGAGACCTCAGCAGCAGCAAAACGCCTCCTGCGTCCGCCGCGTTGAGAGCCCCGCCCGTTGTTCATTGTTGCCCCGCTCCGGCGATAACCATCTCTGCTGGGCGGCCTCAGTGTTACAGCTTCTCTGCGCCATCTGGCCACCTGGAAACTCCACCTTGTCCGCTACGACGCGCCGGTGAGGTGAGAACGCTCACACGCGGCAGCGACGCACAAAACGTTAGTCCACACGAAGCCCTCTAATGGAAGTTTATTGAAGCCCTTCTGCAGAAAACCCTGTTTGGATTGAAATTGTTTTCCGTCCACGAGGGATCCTGCAATAGATACACCCCATGCGACTTTGATTATAAGATAAACAAAAAGCATCACGTACACGGGTACAGTTTTCTTCCATCTGCGCACATTGATTTGATTAAGAGCCCCAAATGTGATTTGTGAGTCATGGCGACGACCTTCGGCTAAATTGGTGAAAACGAACATCAATTCAACTCAACATCGGGGAAGAAACCCGGCATGACTCACCGGTGCATGCAGACAGACACAAGACAACAAACACGTAAATGATTAACGGCCCAATCTGCAGCGGATCAAAAGGAGCAAACGCTGCTGAGGATGGAATGTAGCTGCGCGGTGGCCGTCAGCTTCTAGGACCAACCAGCAAGGCGGGTAACTCCAGTCTGTCCTTCCTTCTCCGCCGTAAACGCTGGTCACGCAATTTCACTTTGGCACCGACTCCAAAAATTGTCAAACTCAATATTAGCGGAGACAGACGGTCCTCCCGTTGGGACATGCGTAACATTTAATTCATAGTGCAGTCGAGGAGTGCGTGGGCCTGCTGGTGATCCCCGCTGCACTGGTCCAGGATGTCCTCGAGGAAGGATCTGCTGCAGCCCGGAAAGCTTTTCAGCAGTTTCACCAACGCCCCATCGCAGGCCGGATCTGGAAAGCACGCAGGAAGGAAATATCTAGATCAGAGATGCCGCTCTTATCCGTCCGCTCCCGTTGAAAGGAGGGCTCTCTCCAGCGCTCAGCAGCGGCGCTTGGGTCCTTCCCCCTGTTGCGAGTGGCAGGTGCTCATAGTTGTGCGGCAGCCAGTTAGCTGTCAAACCCAGGATGTCAATTTAGGGAAATTTATGGAATACCACACCGTTCTCGTTTAGCTCCAGGTCTGTTGTCAACACCCTTCTCCTCTCTGATTGACGAGAGTCCATTCATTAGGTTTGTGTGTGTGCTGCTGACAGGCTTTTAGGCCCATCTTCGCTCTGTCCTGTCAAAAAACGCTTAAAATGTGTTTGGTATGTTGCTCAATCTATATTGATTACCATTCCCTCCTAGAAGGAGTGGAAATACTTCATAACTCACACAGACATTTTCTCAGAACTGCAAGTACCAGCAGGGTTTGACTGCCGGGAGCTAAGGTATCGCTACGCTCCACGCGAGCCTGCTGCACGCAAAGCCTGTGATTCAACGCAGACTAAACAGAACGAATCACGGCCCTTCTGAGAAAGGAGGAGGTCGGCAAATCCCGTCGCACGTCTGATTTGGGTTCGGTTAACCAGCGACTAAAACGAAAGGGGGGTGAGAAACAGCTCACCGGCTTCATCCGTCCAGTCGGCGAAGCTGTGATCTGGATCTGCGTCCGGCAGAGCGGGGGCGACTCGCTGTCCGGCGAGGTCGCACGGCCCGTGTCTGAAGTCGTCGGGGGCCAGAAGGGGAGGCGCCCTCGTCGCCTGCTCGCTCCCCCGCCGTCGACCCTCGAGACTGTCCAGGAAGGCTTGGTTCACCCTGTCAAAACGGAACGAATCCAAGTGATGCGTCGCGTGAACCCAACCGAGGCTTCGCCTGATAACCTCGCCCCCCCCGCCCCGCCCCCTGGGAGGCTCTCGTTGGCGGCGAGCAGGATCTGTTTGACAGCTTTTAAAACTCACCCAATAAAATACAGTAAGGAGGTTAGCAAATTGCACTTCACAGCACCGTGATGGAATATGACAGTGTTTGTGCGTGTTCTACATACCTCCTGTGTTCCTGCTGAACGTCTCTCTCGCCTTTCGGTTTAATCTCCACGGCCTGACAGAAAGAAGATTGTTCAAAGCACAGCGGAAAAGAACGCTTACAGTAGAGGGGAGAGATTTATATTGTGTCCGAGCTGTGTGTCAGGGCCTCTGTTCAACACGAAGAACTCCACAGGGTGCTGAATGTCAGGTATTTGTGCCACATCCGATAAGATCAGATCTCAGCGTGCAAACGAAAACATTCCAATACGAATGGCGAGACACAGAGAAGCCAATGAAAACACAGCGTGAGTTTTCTTTTTGACTTTTGCAACAATCAGTTCTGTTCAATGCGTCTTCTAGAATCGCCAATATAACGCAATGAACATGTACGTTTTAAATATGAGTACACGTATTTACTAAACACACACATTTGAACTGTGTTTCCCGTCCCGGCAGGAGGGGTCACGGGTCACGGGTCAGCGAGGTGGTTACTCGGGAGCGAGAGGAAGAGGGAACACGCAGCCCACCTGTGTGAGCGATCTGTGCTCCCATCAAAGCTTTGCATGAAGTCTCCCACTCAGACACACACAGCACACAAGTACACACCACACACACACACACACACGCCCACAAATAGAGGATGTGGAGGGGAGATCAATCTGTCTCATGGAGCTCTTGCAGAAAGAACAACAGATCCCAGATCCCAGCGAGAACCACATCAAGCAGTTGGACTCTTGCTGCTCCGCAGCCGCAGGCTTTCATCCCCTAATCTGTGACGTCTATCTGGGAGAAGTGCACCCTGGGAGAGTCCGAGAGAGGAGAGGGGGAGAAAATACAAAGAGAGGGGAGGCAGGTAAAGGGGTAAAAGAGGAGACGGAAGGAAATGGGGGAGAAAGTTGAAAGTGAGGGAACTAAATGGACGAAAGGGGAAGCAAATGAGAGGAAAAGGAGCGGGAAGTAGACGCCGTGGAGAGGGGACATGATGCAATGGGAAAGGAAAGGAAATAATGAAGGAAAGGTGAGAAGGGGAGGGGAGGGAAATGAGACGAGACGTAACGAGGGGAGACGGGGAGACGGGACAGGACAAGACGTAATGAGGGGAGACAAAGCAAGTTGAGACAAAGTGAGATGTGATGGGGAGAGTCTCTGTTGCTGTGTGTTACCATCCAGCGAACTGCATATTCCATTCAGCCTGTCAGCGTGTTACTGTGTGTGTGTGTGTTACTGTGTGTGTGTTTGTGTGTTACTGTGTGTGTGTGTGTGTGTGTTACTGTGTGTGTGTGTGTGTGTCCCACCATAAAACTAGAGACTTCTTTATTACTGTAACTGACTGCTTTCTGTTTCTTTCACTACCATAGACTGACCCGAGGTCTCACACACACACACACACACACACAGTCAGGCAGAAATAATGTCTGGTGTAAAAGTGTCTGTGAGAACGAGAGAGTCCAAAGGCCCGGCGATGAGAAAAATACCAGAAAGAAAACATCTCCCCGTCCACCGAGGGAGCTGCGTGTGCACTTTCGAGAGTGTTGTCCGTCGCCGCACAAGCCGAGCACGGCGTGGAACGTACAGCGCGGGACCCCCCACCCTCGCCGGGGCGGTTTCCTGCACATCCCTGGCCAGACAGCAGGCCCGCGTTCAGGGACGATCGGCACCGCGTCTCGACTGCCCGTCAGAAGCTGTGAACACTCACTAACGCAATAACTGCACGTTTTGCAGGGGGGGGAAGAAAGACACTTCGTCATCTTCATATTCAAACGCGCCCCCCCCCCAGAAAAAGATAGTTAAGTGGTTGATTAAGGGGACAGCTGTGTGGCGTGGTCGGCCGTCGGGGAGCTTGGGTTTCCTCCAGGTACTTTATCCCGCTCTCTTCTGCAGGCTCCTCGTGTTTTTGTCTCTCAGCGTGAACTCTGGGAAGTCCCTCGAACTCCGCCTTCCACCCGTTCCCTCCCGGGGGGAAACCAACGAGGCAGAGAGAAGGAAGAGCGGCTGAGAAAAAGGAAGCAGTGAAAAAACAAAAGAACCCGACAGGCAATCGGCATTGAGGGGCGAGGAAACTGTTCACTCTTCCCTTCCTACGCAAAGATGCCCCTGATTAGACGATAGTGACGCGCTTGCTGAATCAAGGCCGCATGGAAGAAGAGTCGTTTTTCGGTTTTTCGGTCGTCTCTTTGGAACCTCACCCCCCAGGTGGTGCAGTTAATGAGGTCATAGAATGACAGTCTGCCGGTCCGACCATCTTGCAACGTCGAGACAAACGGGAAATGTGCGTTTTTTCCATGTCGATGCCATGTGGATATATAACACACACACACGATGCGGTTGCCGGGTTACCTTGTGTGGCGTTTGTGCGGCACCTCCGGATGCCGGAGGACACGGGGCTGCCCTCTCGAACCGCTGCAGAAAGCTCTCAGTCTTCCTACGATGAACACACACGTCATAGCGCCCGTCTTAAAGTTACGTTTCTGTAAAAGGCGTAACGTGCGCGCGGTTTCCTCTCTCTGCCCTCTTGTAAGGAGGCCGCAGACGGTCTGGTGGGAGAATACGGCACGAAACCCTCGAGCAGACAGAGGAAGCTAAATCATTCGTGTGTATACATTCCACATACGATCCATCATTTGAAAGAGGCACGCGTTAATTTCACATAGCATTTCTGTGAAGGAGTGCAGTTTTATTCATGCAATAAATATCTTTCTACCAATTAGATGGTAATCTGCATGAGTCAAGAATGATCCCTTCAAGAGGACCTGGAGTGAGGGAAACATTTCTGGGCTACAGGGGAAAATTGGCGGTGCAACAAGGCCTCCGAGAATATAACCTGCTAAATATTTACATTGCGTTCCTGCTAACGTGTCGCCCCTTGGACGCTTCACACCGGCCCCTTGGGCTCTAGCGTGGCTGCAGACTCTCAGTCCTGTTTATTCCTTCTCTTCCAGCTAAAAGGACTTAAAGGAGAAAGAACGTTGTTCACGTGATTAGAAATGAGGCCGTGGCAACGCTTCCACGTGTGAAACGGCAATCTGGTGCCGATCAGAGTTCTTTTGCCAGCAAAAATATGCAGCTTGTTAAAACTTCAGAGATAATTATAGGTCAGCAGAGGATCCGACACCCGGTGCTCCTCTTGCTCCTATTGCGACGTCCGACGCTACATAGATGAAACCCCGGGAACACAAAAGTGGCGAGGGCCCAGTGACCCTGGTCCTGACCTGGCGCGATCCTGACTGAGCTGCTCCCTCCTCCGCTGCTCCTCCTGCCGCCTCCTCGCCTCCAGGCGCTCGGCCTGCAATGCACGACGGACAGCAGTTGCAACAGAGAGGAAGAACCGGCCGCATGGCCCTGCGGCCAGCGCGCATCCCCGCGCGGCCACACGTTCCCGCGTGAGCATAAGCTGGACGGCACAATTATTGGTGGAGAACATTAAAAAAAAAAAAAGCGTCCTGTCACGCACCATTTACAGATGGCATTGACGCACACGGAAGAGGAACAATACTTGTGGTTTAAGACATGAAAAACATGCCTGTCAAGTTTGGGACATTGTGAAAATAAAAGTAACTTTGAGTATTTATTTGACGCAGTACGATAATAAAAGCAATATGTTTCAATATTGGGTTCAGTGACGGTTCATTCGTGGTCGACAAATCAATGAAAAGACCCACGTAAAAAGATGTGGTTTTTGTCTGAATAAGATTTACTAGATCAAGTTTCTTGGAAAAAAACAACTTAACTTTATCTGCATAATATCCTGTAAGAAGATACATCCCACTCTGTTGAAAGCCCCCGTTCATCCGCAGAGAGGGAAACCCCTTTTAGTTCCCTTTGATTAAAATGCATTTGCTGGATAGAGACTAAAAGAACGGCTCTTTAAATCATATTTTCATTCGGAGATTGTATTGTGGCACGAGCGCCGTGTCGGAAACAGATCGCAGACGCATGGAGCGTTTCCCGTTTCTAAAGGCTTCATCATCCAAGGGCCCTGCATACCGAACCGTCCCCGACCAGAGCGGGTCAGGGTGGATCCGTGACCCAGATTACATGATTACATGTAGGCCCTCTGACATGCGGTGGATGCTTGACTCTACTGACATCTAGCGGAAAGACCTTACGCTGCCTGTGAATAAGGGAGGACAGGCTGGTGCCATGCAGTGAGGGAGGGTGGTGTTGCTCCGTCCTGACGTGCAGCGCTGGGCTTTGTCCAAAAGCGCTCTGGGAACTAGAGGAAATCCCTGTGCTGACCACGAGCAGATTGGAAGGGTCACTGTGACTCCCCAGAGGGTGTTCCATGTAGAAAATGCGCTTCCTCATATTGTAATGATTAGTCCTTGAACTGATGTATGAATAGAAAAGGTGGCGATTGATTCAAAGCAGTTATTTTTAGGATAAATTGAACAAAGCTTTGGGGAAAAGGTCAAAGTACATTTCATTCTTGATGTTTTATTTTGGTCTCACCTTTTCCCGCTGAATATCTTTCTTCCTCTGGTTCTCCTCCTCTTCCTCTTGTCTCCTCCTCTTGTCCAACTCTTCCTTTTTCAGCTTGGATCAACCACATCAAATATTTATTTGGGATACAGGAATGAAAAAGAAGAAGGTAACGCTCTGAAACATATTTCTTTGAAATTGTGACTGGCCGATGAGGCCATCATCTTCAATCACAATATCGGTCCGTTCATATTTCAATAGATATATTGATATATTTGGATTGTGGTTATTCAATAAATCCATTCATGAGCCCATTTAAAATAACTGGTTTTGTGATTAGATTCAGATCTTAAACCTAATTTAATTTTTATAAGAAATTAAAGTAATTGGGAGAATGCTATTTTGAATTCATATGTTTAGTAATTGTGTGATGTCTTGCTGTATGGATCATTTAGTCATGACATTGTTATACAATTATAAATCGTCATACTGCATTTCTGGGGGGCGTGTCATCATGAGTGACAGCGTGATGTCCGAATCTGTCCTCAGCCTTATTTGTTGTCACTCATGATGACACGCCCCTCCCCGCTGATGCCCCGCCCCCTGCGCCACATCACGGTCAAAAGTCTGAATACGAAAAAAAAGATCTGAAAGTTTTGAATCTGAAAATATAAAAATATGCAACCGAAAAATATAATACAGTAAATATAAAAAAAATGTATATATAAGTGAAGATTGAAAAAATATATTTTATTAAAAATAAAATATAGAGCCGAGTCAAAATTGTATTCAACCCGAAAATATTTTTCGTCCACTTATTTTTATATTGAATACATTGTTGTATTCAATGTCCAACAACAAAACTTGTTTTTCAAATGAACAAAACTTTTGACCTGGATTTGGCTCCATAGTTAAACCCCTTTTTTTTTAGTGGCTGGTTAACCGAACCTGAACCAGACATGTGACAGCATTTACCCACCTCGTCCTTCCTCAGAAGGGCCGTGATAAACTGTGTGTGGGGTTCAAACAGCAAATGTGACTAAGTACCCTTTTTTGCAGTTTGGAGCAGCGTAGGTCTGTGTGCTGCATCTCCCTCGTTGCAGCCAGTGTTGCAGCACCACCTTGGTAAGCAAAAAACATCATATTAGTCCACAGCAATAATGTGCAAAAGGATAACGCTGTAAGAAAGTGCTTGGGTTTACCCAGCTTCTCTGGGTCGGCGTGCACGTAGGTGACTCTGTTTGCCTCTTTCCATCTCTGAAGCTCCTCCTCTTCTTTCTGAGCATCTGGAGCAACACAAAGCTCCTTTACTATGGAAAGCCAATTCAAATTTCTCATTGAATATTAAGATTCTACAGATGCGGCAGGTGAGAGCAGATGCGTCAGCCTACTCCTTCGCAGCTTGTCTCGCAGGGACTCATTCGGTGGGATCACGGTGAATCCGCCTGAGCTGAGACAAGGGACGGGGACATGAAAGAGTCTGTTAGGGACTAAACGGACTAAATGTAAAACATTACACTGCGACGGTTGGTGAATAGCATGTATTTTTAACAGTTGTTGTAAGAAACCAACAAAATCTAAATGTTTCCATGAGAAAAAATAGTAGGAAACATAGAACTAATTTTTATAATCCCGTTAGCGTTTATTTGGCTGGGTTTATTCGGCTCAGGGGACATTTATCATGGGGGAAGATGCGTTTTATATATATTTAAGTGAATGTTTGTTACACATTCCTACTCAACACTATTGATGTTTTTTTCTTCTCTTTATTCGGGTACAACATAAAGAAAACAACAACAACCTGTGTTAAACCCCTCAAAAACTAAAAGGTCAATTAATGTAACATACTTTCAAGGTTCTTTGTGACAATTCGCATTTCCGGAAAACAGTGAAGGCAACATTTTCATTCTCAAATCATATGAAACGAAAGTGAAAGTTACCAGCAGTGAATTCCACGATATGTCATTTAACAAATATTAAACTAAAAGATAAGTTCTGCCTCGCATTTAATGAGTTAATGGATACCGTCCCTTTGGCGTGACGTCATTATAAAATTACTGTCACAAAGTGTAACTCACTATTGCGGCTGTCTGCCGGTCGCCGGAGGATTCCCGCTGTCAGGCGCGTCTCCGGTTGGACTCTCGGGTGTCAGCTCGCCTCCAGGTGTTCCAGATGCGCCGTCTGCCGGGTCGACCGAGTACGGCTTCCTCCCGGTGTCTCTCCGGTAGGGATCCATCTCACGCAGGTAGGGTGTGACGGACACAGGTAGGACCGCAGACCCGTGGATGGATGCGCTGTTCTCGGAGTGTTCATAACACAGCTCGGTGGGAGGGGCCTAAAGCGCCGGGTGGAGAAGCGTCATAAACATAGATGACGTCATGAGAGTGTGACTTTTCTTTTCCCTGTACGGACCATTTATGCCAAGTGGTTTCTGTGATATATTGTGACTGGCACAGATCTGATTAATGTTCACCTATGGTTAGTTGTACAGTGTAATATTTGATGGGACTTCCTTTTTTTTATCCCATTATTATTTTATTCATTGAACTAAAATAAAATGTGGCAATAAAACAAACAAGTAGCACTACTGATTTAATCAAACTATAACAGGCTCCGGTTTTATTTTACATTTTGATGGTGTGGTTTGATTACTCTCGTATACATTTATAACTTGGGGGGCAGCGGAGAAACACATTCTGGGATATTAAAATATTTGATGACCCCCAAGTCTGAAATAATCAGCAGCTATTTCCATCATGTGAGAGTCCTTTGATGTACTTTTCAGGCAGTATATTTAAAACATTTGCCGTCATCTTAAATGTGAGGTGAGCTCATTTACTTTTTTTTATTTTAGCGTAAATCTAACAGTTTGGATTTTGGAAAGTCAGTTGGAGACAACAAGCCTTGTGGCGACATCGCCTTCAGCTCAGAGAAGGAAGTTTGATACAACATGACGTACACAAAACAATTCAATTTCTCATCAGAAAAAAATACAATTACCGGATTGACAAGTGTTTATTTCCAGCATTAAATACAACACATATTTCTTCTAAAAACGATTTATTTTGAGTTATATTTGGACTAAACAGGCATGTCATGGATCACCACCAACAGATTTGATGAAGACCTTCTTGGCACCAACAGATTTGATGAAGGCCTTCTTGGCAGGAATGACTGAATGGCCGCGCGCACACACACACACACACATGCACTCAAAAGGACAATTAAAAACACCTCTTAAAAAGTATTGACAGGAAACATTAATAAAAGAAGAAAATCTTTAAAGGAATGTATGCTAAGTGTTTAAAAGAAAGGGCCTCGTTTATGTCGACCACTTGTCATGCGTGTGGTGCAGCATCACGGTGAACCACGGGGTGCACGGCGCCTCCACCACCACACCCGGCTGCAGGCACTGAAATATTAAATGTAGCTTTCAGCTGTTCTGAAGAGATTGCGAGACAAAAAGAGGGTGACAAGAATCAACCGATGACTCGGACGCAAAACCAATAAGGCAGTGAGGGGCCCCCCCGAGGGGCCCTCTGACGGCATCTGTGTGTTGCGCAGATCACCGGCGCGCACGTGTGCGCCCCCGGGGGCTCCGTGCAATCGGGGTGAGCGAGGTCACAGAGCCATCGGTTAATGCCTGCCTGTCACATGTAGGGCCGAGTCTACTACTGATGATGCGTTAGCAGGGATGATGGCCCACACCAATCAGAGACCTCCACATCCGCCTTCCTCCTGGACACGGCCCACACGTGTGTCTGTGTGTGCGTGTCCAACAGCTGGGGCTGGGCGGTGGGGATCACAGTTTTGGGCGGGTTAGCCAGCTTGATCTTCAGGTTCTCGCCCAGCTTGTCCCAGAACTCGAAGGTGTCAAGTAGTCGGCCACGTTCCAGCTGCAGACCGAGACAACATATGCGAATGGGGTGGGAGAACCATTCAGGACACCTCGGCCTAATGTCAAACGCAGAAGCAGGTCATTGAAGAGACTCACTTTGACAGCCCTTTTATGCAGATGGCCAAGTCCTTGGTCATGAAACCAGCCTCGATGGTCTCGATGCACACGGCCTCCAGCGCCTCGGCGTACACCCGCAGCTCTGCGTTGTTGTCCAGCTTCGCCCGGTGGAGCAGGCCCTGCGACCACGCGAAGATGGAGGCTGTAGCACGCAGACGCACAGAGCGAATAAGATTATACAACACGTAGCAGGATTAAGCTCCACAGAACCCTCGTCCGGCTCACTGCTCTGATCTGGGCCGCTCGGTTTTGTACCTATGGGATTGGTGGAGGTCTCCTTCCCTTGCTGGTGTTGCCTGTAGTGGCGAGTCACTGTGCCGTGGGCGGCCTCAGACTCCACTGTGCGTCCGTCGGGACAGATTAGCACACTGGTCATCATGCCCAGGGAGCCGTAGCCTGAAACCAGGTCAGACAAAACCACATCAGCGACAGAACATCTTTGAATAAGAAAAGGCAAAGTCCACATTTTCTGCATTACGAGGCAGTTTTGCAGCAGTTCGAAGGAAGGTTTTCCTTATTCATTCACATAACTTCTCATGTCAGTGTTGCTTTCTTCCAACCTTGTGCCACAGAGTCAGACTGCACGTCTCCGTCGTAGTTCTTGCAGGCCCAAATGAAGCCTCCCTCAGACTTCATGGCCTGTGCGACCATGTCGTCGATCAGACGGTGCTCGTACCAGATGCCCTTGGCCTCAAACTTGGTGCGATATTCCCTGGACACAGAAGAAGGTGGACAACGCGCCTTAAGCCGCGGCCTTTAGGACACAAGTGTGCGTGCTTGTGAAAGAGAGGTGCACCCAGAAGTGTGCGTGTGGTTTCAGGGTCCTTACTTCTCGTAGATCTCCTGGAAGATGTCTTTGAAGCGCCCGTCGTACTTCTTCAGGATGGTGTTCTTGGTGCTCAGGTAGAGAGCCCAGCCTTTGGTCAGGGCCATCTGGAAGGAGCTGTGGGCAAAGTCCCTGATGGAACTGTCTGTGTTGTACATCCCCATGGCAACACCCCCTGTGCCTGGACGGACACAGATACGTACGTTAGTCATTGTACGGTCACATACGCTGCACACGTACCACATGGAGACTTTTATTTGGGCCCGTGTCTTCGTTATTTCAGTAGTATATTATAGCGTACTATGAATAATGTTCTCCATTACTCAAGCGTTCTAATCAGTTTCAGTCAACGGGTGAACAGGAACACAGTCGACACAAATAGATGAAGATAAGCCGTATCTCACATTTACGTGAACACAATGCTAAACGTGCTGCTTTTTCATTATTGACGGACACTCCTTCATATCCGAACATGATCTTTGCTCCTCACTCTCCATTTTAGAGTGACGCTTGCGTGTCTGCGATACCAAAAAGTAAACCGTCCCAAATCGCTGCCTGAGCCGCTTGCCCCACGGGGCTCATGTGATCGCCGCGGCGGTGCAGCGTTCCGCCGCCGTGTTCTTACCCTTGAACTCATGGATGACGTATTTAACGGGCTCCCCGTTCGTGGGGGTGTAGGTCATCTCCACTTTGCCAGGCCCGGGTACCACAAAGTCAGTGGCTTTGTACTGTGGGGACGCACACATTGAGAGAGAAGGTTAGCACGACTTGGATGCTGCGGTCCCCCCCCCACATTAACTACGCAGCTGAGCTTTAGTGCAGCGTGATCAAAGTTCAGATGCCCCAGTCGTAAACCCCTTGGCGGGTTTAAGGAATTCACGTCCGCAAAACTCAACGTTTATTCTACGACAAAACCCAGTGCAGCCACAGTGTGACGCACAGGCCCCAAGTATTCAATTGAACAGATCGAACCCAGTTCAGCTGCCCCATCCGATCCCGGCGAGGGCCGTGATATTCTCAAAGTCCAGTGTTTATATTTCCGCCATTTTTCTGCCACAAAGACGAAGAAGAAAAGCGGCTTAAAGCTTTTTTCCCCATTCGGTTTCTTCCCACAGCGGAGCACATGTTACGGATACCTCTGACTGCCGTGGCATATTATGCAAGAAGCCGCCACTTGACCCTTAGCCTGAATAACTCTCCGCAGGGAGGAGGGCTGTTGACTCTCACCATTTACTTCTGGGGCTTTGACGCAACGTGTCCTGGCAGTGACCGTGGCGCGGGGTCCAAAGCACGGCCGGTGGAATATAATCATTGACTGAAGTTCTTCCTGACTTGAACTCACCGAGTTCATACGCGGCGCAGCAGTCACGGGGGTCGTGTGGATAGTTTTGCCTCACAGATACTAAAAGGGTGTTGGCCCTTCACGCGCTGCGTACCTGATCTCCGTGGGCGTGTCTGCCGATGATGATGGGCTTGATCCAGCCGGGCACCAGGCGCGGGATGTTCTTGCACAGGATGGCCTCCCTGAACACGGTTCCTCCCAGGATGTTACGGATGGTGCCGTTGGGCGAGCGCCACATCTGCTTCAGCTTGAACTCCTCCACGCGGTTCTCATCCGGCGTGATGGTGGCGCACTTGATGCCCACGTTGTAGCGGCGCACCGCCTCCGCCGCCTCCACCGTCACCCGGTCGTCGGTCGCGTCTCGGTTCTCCATGCCGAGGTCGTAGCTTGGCAGGAGGAGACGGAGAGATTAGAGTGAAGTCCTGGAACTGTGTGTGAATGTTTTTTAACCCGGGCCACTAACATTCATTCTATGAGTTTCTGCAAAACTTGACCCTTTTTATACCAAATACTGGAGACACATTTTAGTCAGCAGTGAAAAACGTTCATGTTTTTAAGTGTGAGAATGCGCAGAGAAGTAAAGAGAACGCTCATCCGGACAGTAGAAGCACGAGACGCCATAGACCAAGAAGGACAGAGATCATCTACGCTTCAGCTGCACAAGCAGCCCGGAGCACGACTACGCACCAACATGTGCAACTGTCTTAGTTAGCCAGAAGCTAATCTGTGAACGTTGCAGCACACTGGCTGCAATGTGTGGGGAAAGAGGAACGGATCAGCGGTTTGCTCGCGCCACATCTGGGCTAATTGTAATTTCCTGACCTCGCGCAGGCATTGGCCCGCGGCCGCCCCTCCTCTCTCGGTACTGGGGCTCACTGCGTTCTTCTTTACATGCCCGAGAGAGAGAGAAGGAGAAGGAGATCTGCAAAAAAACCAGCCGGCAACACAAAGGAAACAGAGAATCGATTGTGCAACGTCGACCGGAGCGAAAAAAGAAAAAAAAATACAACCCAGCAAACCGGTACGGCGAGGAAGTGAACGGCTGGAAGGAGCCCGGCGCTTTATCGCTCCCTTGGAGTGAGAGCTCGGTCTGAAACCCGTTGGCTGCCGTGACCTTTCTTCCACTTTCTCCCCCCCCCCCCCTCCGAAGGCCACAGCAAAAGCCATAACAAGATACCGATGAGTCGACCCGTAAAACTATTTATCACAATATTAACTCAAACATTTGCTTGCAAAGGCCCGCTGCACAATAAACCATTAACTCTTTACAATGCGAGACAAGAAGTAATGACGCTGTAATCACTTCCAGTCCAAAGGGCCGGCTTTCTTCCCCCCACGCGGCAGCATGGAGATGGGGGCATCAGGGACTTGAACTTCGCACAACAAAGGTCACGCAAATAGCATAAAACTCGGAAACAAAGTCCACGCAGGAGATAAGAGCATCAACAGGGTCGAACGACGAAACGGCCGCGACCATTACATTCGATTATAGATGTTCTTTTTATAGGAAGGTGAAAGCAGCAGCGCGTGCGTTCACCTGTGCAGGTCGAGCTCCAGGTACGGGAAGACCAGTTTCTCCTTGATCAGCTCCCAGATGACTCGAGTCATCTCGTCTCCCTGCATCTCCACCACCGAGCCCGCCTTGATCTTCGGAGACATCTCGGGAGAGTCCTGTGAGGCGGGGGGACCAGAATGAATTCATTCACAACATAAAAGGAGGAGCATCCAGACCGGTGACCAGCTGATGTTTACTCCATAATCCCAAACGTCCCACACGAGTAACCAATGCCAACAAACTCATTAATAGCAATTATACCGATAAGCGAAAGTACCCGTCACCGTATAATGCGGGTTTCTTGTGTAGCTTTAACCCAGATGATGGAGCTCACTGCTCGTTGGTATTTCACGACGGTTATTACGGTTTAAAAGTTTCACCCGTACAGGAAGCAGCAAATCTACAGTATAATGCTTAATGTATTGACCCAACAGATAAGCAGCTCGACCCCCCCCCCTTAACAACGAGCGACTTCGTCTCAGCTTAGAACCCCACCCGCGGAATTAGGTGGAACCACGAGAACCCGAAACAGAACAGTTGACGTTGAATAATTTCAGCTTCGGTGACGGTTTCGAGCGGCGAGTCGACGTAACGGGCGAGAGCAGCAAACCGTCAGCGTTTCCTGCTACGTCACTCGCCGCGGTTCGTGGCACGTTGGTGTGTCCGTTAAACGGGTTACCTTGTTGGGTTTACGGGTCCACGCAGCGGCCTGAGACGGGTCGAGGAGGCGGAATGACGTTCGACTGGGCTGAAAGTGAACAACCGCTGGCGGAGAGGTGCCGCAGGTACCCGGATCCCCAGCGCACAGTGCATTGGCCAATCGGAGAAGAGGGGGTGGGGGGGATCCACCAATCGGATAAACGCACAGCGCCGGAGGGGCGTGAGTTGTCTGGGGATGCGGCACGCTGATTGGTCGGAGGCATATCGAGCTATTCCTCCTAAAAAAAAACAAGGAATCCTTTCAGAAGAACGTTGCGTAACCCACTTTCTGCATATGACACTTTATCTAACGGGATTATTCAAATTCAATCTGTACGTATTTCGTATTGTCACAAAACCATTGCATTGTCTTGTAAAACAAGACTGATTGAAATCAGGGTGCACGTAGACAAATGGGAAATGCCGTGACTGGTTTGAGTGATTCTTGGGTTGATAGTTAACGAAGTGGGCACCACTCCTTCAACGTGATGTTCTGCCGGATCAACCTGTTCGGGCCTGCGGGGCAAACATTTGCTTCGAGCTGCCTTATCCCAAAACCTGGGAGTCATCAGATAGTTGCATGTAAGGGGTTGAAGTTCCCATCAATAAAAACAAATTTGGGATGCAAGTAACTCTTGGAGGTGGTAACGGAACGTAGAAGAGGGCCAAGTGTTAAAAGAAAGCAGCACAATTAAAAGTACTATTTAGGCAGGAACACATTCCCTGTCATTGTTTAATCATCGTATATGATGTTCTTTGATTAGCATATGTAGAATTATGTGCATGTCGCATGTTCGTGCTCGAAATGTTTTTTAACTCTTCCACACAGCAATGTTTCATATTCTATAAAATCACCATATGTTTTGTAGCGCCAATGTCTGTGTGAACCACGTAAATCTAAAAAGTCAAATTCATTAGAGAAGACGTGGAACTAGAGATTGAAACATAAAACTGGCCATTATGGAGAATGCAGTACCGAATGTTATTAAGAAGCTTGTCCTTTTACAGGTTCCCTCACCCTGAGGTCAATGGTTTGTTAGTTGTTTTTGGCTGAAACAAGGCGAGTGGTTGAGTGTTGCATTAGGGGCAACACAGAACGTTCAGAACTCAGTGGACCAAAAAAACCCATCACAAAATGTCACTACGACTTACACAATTAAATACACAACGAGCAGGTTTTTCAACCTGTGTTGTTGTTTTAATGTTAACAAATAGCTGACACCACTCGGGAGTGGATTTCAGAATTTTTGTTTGAAAATGGGTCACAATGACTGTGAATTTTTTGGATGAATGTATAACCATAACGTACATTGTAAACAGTGCCGTGCCAGCCCAAAGTTTGGAAACACTTTCTCAAATGAGCAGAAAGCGAATACAGATGTATGTAACACATTTTAGTTGACAAATGTGGCCCTTGTTTATGTTTATTGTGTATACATGTTTTCTATGTACTTACATCAGTGTCTTGCAGTTGAAGATCTAAAAAACATCTTTGTTTTGTACCAGAAATAATAACCATTGTCGTATTGAGTCAATATCAATATTGCAAGGCTATTACTAAAACAATGACCATTTTTGAAAATGAATCATTTAATATATATTTTAACCACTGACCTAATGGAAACAATATTTATTAGTGTTTTATATTGAGGACAACACCTTTCCTGCTCTTCCTATCTGTGGTTTGACCATTTGGAAATCCCTCCTCTTTTCCATGTGAGCAGAAGTTGCGCTGCGTCACCAGAAGATGTCAGAATCTCACTGTGCGCCCTGAAGAAGCGAACGGCTTCCTGGTGCCCCGCGGCCATGTGGTCCTGAGGAGAGGTGAGGAGGCGATCATCTCGCGGTCCAAGGAAACCTTAAAACCAAATCCCCTATAGCCGTCCATTTAGAACTCCGGGAATTGAACCCGCACTGCAGAACGCAGCCGGGTGCGATCTCGCGTTTTACTCAAACGGCACACTTGGATCAACGCGTTCTGGATCTACTTTATCTTATCACACGGAGAACCCCACGTCACGGGGGAATACCGAGTGCTTCTAAAACATCACCCCTTTGTTGACCCCCCCCGCTCGGAAACAGGACCGCGGCTTGGCGAGAACCTGGGAGGCGTCACGTGACTCTGCATCTGCTCTCAGTAGTGGCACAATAACCACGCAACGAGAGAGAGAGAGAGAGAGAGAGAGAGAGAGAGAGAGAGAGAGAGAGAGAGAGAGAGAGGGAGGGAGAGAGGGGTGAGGGTGAGGGGGGAGTCGAGGAGGAGCTAGCAGCGATAGGATTCACTCCACGCGCCATCAGCACCAACAACCTGCAGCCTGCCCCTCCATCCTCACCTCTCTCTCTCTCCAGCGCGCGCCTGCCTTCCCAGGACGCACACTGGCGCTTTCGCCGTCTGTCTTCTCCCCCACCCGTCGCAAGGTGCGCAGGTGCGTCCCCACGGCGGCGAGTCCCCGCTCTGCGCTTGGTTGATTATGGTCACAACCCCCGCGGTGCCAAGGTGGAGTCACCGCGCGTATCTCGGATCGGTGCGCTTCTCCAGGGGCTGGGATGCGCACCGGGCACCTCTCGCTTCCTGCCTAGTTTTGGGTCCGAGCAGGACTCGAGCTCTGCCCCGGGGCGCCGGAGCAGGAGGACCCAGTCGACCCGGAGCAGGATGCCGGTGATGAGAGGGCTGCTGGCCCCGCAGAACACCTTCCTGGACACCATCGCCACCCGCTTCGATGGCACCCGTGAGTAACGATCCGTTCGACGCTTCACGGGGTCACGTGTGACACAAGAACTTTCTCTAAGATGCAAGTTCAAAAGTTAAATGCACATGTTATGAGAAGATATAATATGCACCTGTCTCAACAAGGCTACATGCAAATAGGCCACAGAGATGCAACCGTAACTTCCAGCACAGCCTTCTGACGGCAGTGTGGCGATGACCCCTGAGGTTTTCCTCTACATCCCAGCTGGGTTTTTTTTTCTCTTCTCTTGTACATTTCAGGACTTCCTCCCAGTTCCTCTGTGCACCACCGTGTCTGTTTTGCGCACGACTTCACTCTGTGTCGCCTCTATTGATTCACACGTCTCACCAGAGAGGTTGCCCAACAAACCCAAAGCCTTTTGTGCCTCGCTTCTCCAGAGGAGCCGGTGGTCTTCTGATCTCCATCGTAAGCGAGCGGCTGAAATGATGCTGGAGAGAGAGGGAGAGAGAGAGAGAGGGAGGGAGGGTTGACATGAGCAGATATCTTTTTGTCTTTGTCGAGAGTGTGTCTTGTGAGCAGATGCGATGAGCAGCCCGCGTGTGTTTGGCCCCATGCTGGATGGGTGGGCGGGTGAGAGATGCTTCTATTGCGCCGTGTTGATTATTCAGGCCCATGGGAGTCTGCGAGTGGGGCGAGCCAGCGCCTCCCCCCAGAACCAGCTACGCGTGGCAGCATAATGGGGGGGTGAAGCTCATTTGACTTCAGCGAGTCGTCAAAAGAGCAGCTCCAGATCTCGGGTCCTCTCCTCTGTGGCTGTCGTCCAACGGCCACATTTAAATGCTCTGACTGGGATGCAAAGTGAGGTGTTGGTGCTGGATCTGCCCGTCAGGGGGAAAGACACAAATGTCTTCTCTGTGCCGCCTTGTCCTTTATCCTCACACTCGAATACTTCCCGTCTATAAGCACCCCCCCCCAACATTTCTTGGAGGACGATCCCGTTTTGTAGATTAGCTCTCTCTCTTTTTCCGTCTCCGGTCTAAAACAAAGGCCGTCCGTTCAACGAGGTGCTGATAATTACACTTCTCCAGCAGCGCGTGTGCATTCATAGTAATTAACTTGCGTTTGTGTCAGGAATCCATCGTGGCCTTTCTGCTTGTCACAGGGGGGGCAGCGGGGTTTTAAAGGAGAGGCTGTGGGGGCCGGGAGGGCAGGAGTGTGCGCGTGTGTGTGTGCCTGATGGGAGTGTAGCTGCTCTGGTGGGAGGATTGGGGGGGAAGATTGGGGGTGTGTGGGGGGGAGGGGGGGGGGTTGCGATGCATGAATCCATTATTGGTCCACGTGTGACAAACAAGCAGCTATGTGTTTTCATGGTGTGATATTCGCACATCACATTGCATCAGGCACTTGAGGGAGAAAGATGGAGGCCAGTTATGTGACCGTCTGTGGTGGGAATGGCAGCTTTGTTTCTCAGCAAATACTGCTGTATGTGTGTGTGTGTGTGTGTGTGTCTGGGAAAGGTGGCTTTTGTTGTAATTGTGAATCAAATGGCAGTCGTGATTCATTTTAAAAGCCACTCATCGAAGCCTTTACCACTTCATTTTCTCTTGTCGAAGGCTTCGGGTCATATTAATCTGGATGTTACTGAATTCAGAGAGGATTGACAAAAAAGTATTTTACCGCTCCCTCCAGTAGATAATGCATTCCAGTTTTCCATCACAAAACAAGCTTTACAAATATATTCACTTGTGACAAAAATACTTTTTGGTATTGTTATACGTAACCACACATACGCATCAAAAACACACATTGCATACAGCTGAAACTGCTGAACCTGCATTAATTAACAAACCGCCATTTCTGTTTTAGCTTTTCGAGACTTCCCCTGTTTTATTGTACAAATGCGGACGATCAGACGTCTCCAATTTCAAACGTCACATGAGTCCACCTGCTCCTGTGTGTGACTGGTGTCCGCGGGGACCTTTGGTGGTGACGCGTGCTCATCCGACCCCCGTTAGCTTCAGGTGCAGCGCCGGCAACGTCAGATATGCAACAATCATGCCGATACCGAGTACCAAAGTGACCATCATTTAAATGTGTGTAAGCCCAATGCATGCTGGGACGGAACAAACTAATCCCGTAGTGGAAATAATGTATTTTTGTGTCATTTGATCAATTAGTCCATCAGCCAAAATTGCATAACCAACTCTAACCAATAATCTTAATAAATAAAGTTATTTATTGAGCACAAAATAAAGAGTTTATTGTTAATGTATTATATATCATTCTTGACTTTATATTGTTTTTGACGGTCAGTCTGAGGAAAATGCAAATCAACGACAAAAACAAAAACAGTGGAGTCCCTTTTAAATGAGTTTGGAATTAATTGTGAGGAAAGGAAGAAGAATCCGACAAAGGAGTCAATAGAGACATTGATTGTTGGCTGCAGCCCTAATCCACACAGATAGAGATGGCATATCGGATCCGTGCAGCTACCTGAACCCTTCCACTTATTAGTGCCGAGCTCGATGCACGCGCGCTAATCTGTCCAGCACCCGGACAGAGATTCAGACCAGACGTCAAGCTGATTTGTCACCGGGGATAAACGCTCAAATGCAGAGCTGCTCACTTGACACGTGTGTCAACAGATCACAGGAAGTAAAATGACTCCACGCAAGGGCAGACACGCGGCCACCCTCGGTTTGCCCTCCCGGGTCGACGGCGTTACCTGCGTTGAGAGCCGCGCGGAGCCAACAGATGATCTCTGAATCGAGCGCCTTGGATCGCGGATGAAAGTGCTGCTTTGCGTCACAGCTTCTGAATCACATGCTTGAAAAAAAAAAAAAAGTCCTTACTTACCGACCCTTCTCGTGACGCACGTTGTCGCCGGTTGTCGTTCGACCGCCCGGTGAACTTGTATTAGTTTTATATTTTGCAATCAGTTGATTCACGCAGAAGTCTCATCGGAATTATCATCTTGTTTTTGTCAACATGTGAAAATTACAGTAGGAAACATTCAGCTCGGTCACAGCAATCCTCAAATCACGGCTCAATCAGTTGCTCGTTTGCTGCCGCGCTTCCGAAAAGAGGCAACAGCTGCGTGGGACTAAACGAGTCAATTGGTCCGATTAATTGAGTGGGTCTTGGCCGCCGTGATCAGGTTAAGGCCCGAGCCCTGCGCGCCACGTGGGCGTGTCTCGGGGACGAGCGGCCTCCGGCCTGCCAGCACCCGCCCCGTCTCTCGGCCTCCATTTTTTTTTTTCAGCCAAAGAGAGGATTTCGGCTGGAAGGAGAGAGAGAGAATAACAAAACATCCACGGGGCCTCGTAATGTAGCGTCATCGTTTAAAGGTGGCGCCTCGCCTTTGCTGGTTCGAGAAAGAAGACGTTTTTTTTTTAGGGAAGAGCATCAAACATGTCAAATTTCCCGTGAGTGCGTTATTTACCCGGGTCTCAGCCTGGTGTCAGACTGTGTCTTCAGTTACACCTACGCTGTTTTAAGAATAGAATCCAATCTGCTCACGTTGCCGTTTTTGCACAAATGTCAGGGATTTACTGCGAAAACCTGCAGCTGCACCAAATGAGTTAGGCGGCAAAGCAAACATGCACATGGCTCGAACGCTTCCCAGTGCCTGGTGTTTGTGTACCCGTGTGCATGCAAACCTGTGCCTGTCTGTGTATCCAGAGGCGGATGTAACGGTGGGCTTGATGGCGGCTCGGCTCCGTCACGTTACGCCCGTTAAAAAAGGTTAAAAGTCAACCGCGTCGGCTGCGATGATCAGAAGTGAAGGGCCGTGTCGGCATGGCAACGCCTTCACAGTGACGATGTTAATGCTTAGTCGGTGTCATGCTGACCGTGTTCTCTTACTTTCAGTGGCGCCATGCTAACATGTGCTCATTAGCGCCACGCTAAAGCACTGCTGGGTACTGTTGTGGATTTGTTCATTCATTCGTAGTTGTCGCTCGTTCTCCAACTCGCTGACTACGTCTGTCTGACTCGAGATGAGGACCCTCACATTCTCACAGACCAGAGACCTTCACTAACACACACCCGTAGAACGCGTCTTCGATTCACAGAGATTTATTGGGGCACCAACACTCGAATAAACCGAGCTCTTTCCGGGAAAAACACCAACGAGGTGATGATACGACACATCAGTTCATACGTTTCTTTGACCATTGGATTGAGTGAAGCCCTCCACTTCCATCCTAACGGCGTAACTCTCCTCCTGTTGTTGTCGTCCGGCTGTTCTTCTCCTCGTCCTTCACCAGCCCCCCTTATCTGGTTGTTGATGCTAAACTAACTGGCTCATTCTGGTCTCGCTGGCCCTCCCGTTATGTCTCCTTGCGTCTAGACACACAAACATGAGACCGTTGTCCCACAGCTGGTGTCTCTACACTATCTTGTCCCCAGTGTCACGATGACGCCTGTATTTCCATATCTTTGCAGCCTTGACTGGGTTCGGTGTCTCAGTACATCTATCTATGGGCCTCCCGTTAGCTTCTCCCTCCCCTCTGTTGAATTGTAACTCATCTACAGGGATATATTAATGTGGTTATATCACTACTTACCAAATTTCTCTAAAAATGCTTATAACATGAATATATGTTGGACAATATTTTCCCTCAACTGTGACTGAATGAATCAATCCAGTATACGTGGAAATCTTTCAAGCATGGGACACATTTGTTGTTGCTCTTCCTAGAAAATGTTAACTTAACGTCGGCACAAGAGGGAAAGTCAGAGAATTGGCAAAATCCTTTAGGATTCAACAATTCATATCCAGAGCTGCAATTATTGACTCGGAATCGAGGCAGCAACAGTACAGATTAATAATGTATTGTGCTGAACCTCTGCGCAGAGGGCCGTGTTTGTGAATGAGGCAAATAATAACGATTAGAGTGCTCAATAAAATAAATATAGTTCCATTCACAGCACTAAGCAGCATTTCCAGTCAGCGGTCCAATCACAACACAAAACTCAGTGCTTGGAAAATGACAAAGTATTTAAGGGAGCTTGTTTTTCTTTTTTTCTTAGAAACG